AAAAAGACTGACTATAGAGTGTTAATTTCCTTTTTTTTTTGTACATACACCATTGACTTACAATTATATGGACGTCGGGTCCGCGCTAAAAAGTGTCCGAACTTATAGGGCGTTGAAATCGTATACAGAGCGTCATTCACGCTTTAGTCTTCGTTTGTTCGACTGACAGCGAAGCAAGCAAAATTAGACAGTACTGCGATGACATTACAATTTAAATTCAACGTTTTAGCTTTTTCTATATTTTAGATAGGTTGACTTGGGACATTTTTTTCGTGCTTTTTGTATTAGACCCGTCGTCCATTTATTTGTAAGTCAATGACATACACTGTCTGTTTAGTATATTGTTATAATATTTGTGTATGCATTTAATACGGGCTGCGTTACGTATTATATCTATATCGTATCTCATTATCCGATTGAATGGTTTGACCGCAACACCAGCCAATAGGCGTAAAAGCGGCTCAGTTGAACCGTAACACGCTAGATCGTTTGTAGTTTACCCGAAACGAGGCTGACACTGCGATGCGATTAGACGTTTTGGTGATTTATCGATTTTCTATGTCTATAACTTATTGGCAGCAATACTAAAATATTAATTTCTGTAATTTCGAATACCATGGCCGAAGTATTAGGTACTATTTTTTAAGAAATAGTTATGTAATGATTGCGTACAATACCATTTCTACGAGTAAATAAAATAATGAACGTAACCAATATTTAATGTATATTTTGTTAACAATCCTTGACAATACAAACTCAAATGGTAGCCGAACAAATACTACAAAACAAAAAACTAAAGAGATGGAATAGAAGTGGCCAAGTGCCGCTTATGTTTTAACCAATATTTTTTTTACAATGATCAGTACAGAGTACTAAAAAAACCGATCTCAAAAGTACATGGAATTACGTCTATTTGCTAAGTTTTATTGAAATATCCCCTAGTTCGCCACTATACAGGACTTGATACTGGATATAATAAAAATCGGTTCTCACTACTCAAAGTATATTGAGAGAAAAACGCCTTGGATTGGAGAAATAGCGAAATCAACCATTAAAGTAATTGCTCCTAAATTAAAGTTAGGCGCTATTTATAAAAATGAATCTTCATGCGTGAACAGCCACCCTTCGAGGATTTTTTTCAAAATAAAATGGGACCACTATGGAAGTACCCCCTTTCCAACAAAAAAAGAATCATGAAAATCAGTTCACAAATACCGGAGTTATCGCAAAAAATACATACAAAAAAACATACAGACGAATTGAGAACCTCCTCCTTTTTTGAAGTCGGTTAATAAAAATTAATAGCCCAGTTGCAAGACCTACAGGCCAATTTAACTAATCAGGAGGCAGTAGAGCATTTGAGTAGCCGTCATATTTGATATTACAAATTAGCATATTTTTAAACTCATTATAGTTCTGTGTTTAGATAGATGTGGAAGGCGCCTTATGTGGAAAGTGAGGGTATTTTTTTGAATGTAATAATATAGGAAATTGAAAGAAAAATGTATAGTTAAACAAGAGTCGTTGAAGGTGGTAATTTAATTTGTTTCCATCTGAACCTATCTAGCACAATAATTGTATCAACAGTTTTAAGCAATTAATTTAATCAAATTTTTATTGAATTGATATTAAATTATTTTTTGTGAAATTACTCCACTAGTTTGTTATAATTATTAATACAAAGATGACGACGTCTTCTTGCATACCGTGCCAGACGCTATACCAACAAAGCCACGGAACGAACCAGCGGATCTCACGAATTTTTTTATGTGCTTGTTGTCGTGTTTTTGTATTTTTTTGGTTTTTTGACTTTTTAGTCGTAGCGCCATCTATGAGAAATCTATGAAAGTTTTATCTTCCGGCCTGCATATAATCCGGCCGGATCGAAGGAATTTTTTCTGAGTGTTCGATCTTTGTATTAATAATTATAATGAAAATTTTCAGTTCACTGGTGATTGCCATAGACTATAGAATTTTGATTCAGAACTAAAAAGAGCGCCTTTGTGATATGGTTTATGAAATTATAATTGACAGATTAATAAAGTACAGGAGTAGAAAAATGTATAAGCATTAATGTGAGCATTAATGCGTTCCGGTATTCCAGGGTAAGGGTGCTGGTGAAGGTTACAGACACATGGGATTTGTTAACATATGCCTGTCAGGCACAGTGGTAGTATCCATTTGATTTTTGCAATCATTTGTTTCATAACATTGACTTACAATTATATGGACGTCGGGTCCGCGCTAAAAAGTGTCCGAACTTATAGGGCGTTAAAATCGTATACAGAGCGTCTTTCACGCTTTAGTCTTCGTTTGTTCGACTGACAGCGAAGCAAGCAAAATTAGACAGTACTGCGATGACATTACAATTCAAATTCAACGTTTTAGCTTTTTCATATTCTTTTACATGTCAATACGTTTAAATAGGTTGACTTAGGACATTTTGTTCGTGGTTTTTGTATTAGACCCGTCGTCCATTTATTTGTAAGTCAATGTTTCATAAGTAAAATGTTTATACTTGAAAACGTCATTTTTTAAGCTACTGCTCGTTCACTACGCTGACCTCCCTGAGAAGAACGAGTAAGAAAGTCTAGGGATTGCTCTTTTCAAATAAACTTAAATGCTATAGAATACATATTGAAACATATTTGTGTGGAACGTAGACTCACATTGTCTTTCCATACATCTTTATCTAACACGTAGTCTATAATTTTATTACCCCCGAAGGGAATAAAACGGATATTTTGGGTCTAGCCAAGGCTTGACCCTAACTGTCTTATTACAAAAATCTACTTTAATACTGGTTTAAACCAGGACTAAAAGATCCAGGATTGTTACAGTAATAAAGTTAATACCAGTTTTAAATGTGTCCTTATTACAAATCTAAAACCAACCGGAGATCAGTTAGACCAAGGATCGTCCATGGTTTAAATAACATCTACAGATAAAAAACGAAACATAGCAATCATTCATTCCTATTCATTCGTTCATACAGGCTTAATTCGATGCAACGTTCCATTTCTTTATATGTCGATATTATATTTTACACTTTAAATGCGTATTCACTCATTTATCAATACAAAAATATGTGCTAAATTGGTAATTGCTCAAGTTTTAACCTATTGAACAAGAGCAATAAATATTTTGAAGGAGCTTTGTATTATTATGTTATTATATATTTTTAACAATTTAGCGTGAATCGGAGTGAAGTAGTACTTGCGGGCTGCTCGAATTCAAGGCGAGATAATCAAAATTATTTACGTTTGCGCTCATATTAAATAAAGTTTTATTTCTGATTTGATTTGTGATCTTAACATTGCGCTGATAGAAGGTCTGTGTGTGGTTAAGCGATGAGTGACACAACAGAACAACACAAGAAAAAAAGGGGTGAAAATTGGAGTTCTGAAGAAAAAGTTAGTGCAAGTTTGAAATTAATTTTTATTACTTTGCGTTACTTGTATCGTTATTTCGACTAATGGGAATCTTTTTATTATTGTAGGAAATATTACGTCAACTTATTGCTCAGTCTGCACACGTTATAGAGGATAAGTCGACAAAAACGTCAATTAACATGCTAAAGACAAAAGAATGGAAAAATATATCTATTAAGTAAGTATTGATTGCTTATTCCATAATATGTATATAAGTACAATTTGTTTAAATTATTACAATATCAGCATTCTTTTTAGATTCAACGAGATTACAGGAAAATGCCGATCAGATGGTGAGCTCAAGCTCGCTTGGAAGCGAATGAAACTATCTGCAAAATTAAATTTATCCAGCCATAGGAAAGAGCAATTAAAAACAGGAGGTGGCGCAAAACCACAATCACCTTCTCCTGAGGACATGGAAATAATGGCAATTGCTCCTCACGATTTTATTATTGAAGTCAATGACTATGATAGTGATGGAGTGGTAATTTTTTTTTAAATAACTTGTATCCTATATCTAATTACAATTTTTATATTTTTCACATTATTTCAATAGGTAGTGCTCTGTAATTAGTCTTTAGAGCATGCAATTTACAATTCAATATGATGATCCTCAGGTTCTGAATTATACATGCAATTTAATTTTAATTAATTACACTACTAATAACGACATTAACTATAAATTTCGATAATAATAATATTCCTATGAAGTATAAAATAGGTACCTTATTAAATTGTGATCAAAATGGCAGCAAGAAATAACATTGGTTTTATAATATAAATACAAATTTTTATTCATTTTAGATTCCAGTTCCCATGTCCACAGAAATTATTTCCAAAGCTGAGGCTGGCCCTAGTTGTGGAATAACTGACACAGTGAACATGGAAAATCTGGAACATATTGTTTTGGAGGTGCAAGGTAATAATAATAGCAAAAATATAAAATAATGACAATCACAAGTTTGTTTAATTTCAAATTCATATTTAATTTTCCAAAACTTTAGTTTGGTACATATACAATATTTTAAATAATTTTAGCAACATCCAACGATTCAACTAAAGAAAAAGAAAGTGCCAAAATGGTGACATTAAAAAATGATGACACTGTGGCGACAAGGGCAGCAAAAAAAAGAAGAAATAGTTTACAAAATAGGTATATTGAAATAAATACTTGGTCTGATATATTATATAGTATGTAATGTACTTTTTAATATTTGCAAATGTTTGGGGAAACCAATGCTTCGGTCGCTCAACTGGAGTACCTGACTGAAATGCAATGGATTGTGCATTTGTGTACCACCCCAAGCACCAAAATTTTTTCAATGTCTTTTTGCTTTTAATGCATACTTTTCTCACTTAAATAATAATTTTAAAAATATTACTATATATTTGGTTTTACAGAAGTGAAGACATGCGCTAGTCGATTGTAAAAAGCAATACTGATTTTAAAAAAAGACACTTGGAAATTATGGAAGTGGAACATCAATATAATATCAAAATAGCACAACTAAAAATAAAAAAATTAGAATTAGAAATAGCACTATTAGAATCAAAAAAAAAAACTGGTACTGAATAGTAACATGTCATTGAATCAAAAAGATAAAAAAGAGAAAGGAACGACAATTTGTATTAAAAATTATTTATTAAAAATGCATTTCTATGAACTGCCTCCTCCTAATATTTCCCCTTACTGAATTGGGAATATAGCTTTGTGCAATAGGTTCCCTAGATGAAGGTTGTTCAAAGCTATCCTCACCAGGAAACACGTCCTCCCTCATGTCTATGGCAATGTTGTGAAGAACCGCACATGCAACAATTGTTTTCTTTGCTGTTTCTACATCCCCAAACATGCCTCTTAATAGGCAACGAAACCGTTGTTTCCACAACCCAAAACATCGTTCCACTGTATTCCGGGTACGTATATGACACCTATTGTACCTTTCTTCTTGAGGACTAGCAGGGTTCAATATTGGTGTAAATAAGTATGGAGTGCATGGATAGCCACTGTCACCCAGTAATATTCCAGAGAATGCACCAGCCTCAAACCTCTGCTTCAATCTACACTCTCTAAATATTCTAGAGTCATGTACACTGCCGCGCCACCTGGTAACAATGTCCATGATTTTCAGGTCAGCATCACAAACCACCTGAAAAATGACAGCTTATTAGAACTTTACATTCTCTGTAATTTTATAATACATGTATATTAGTTGCCAAAAGGAAGTTAATCAAGTTATTCTCTATTGGTACCAGTATTTTGGGTGTTGGTAAAGAGTAAACTGGACAATCACAATTTAAAATTAAAATATTTGTATTAATACCTGTACATTTATTGAAGAAAATCCTTTTCTGTTAATATATAATTGACCCCCATCAGCATTTACTTTCTTTACTCTTATATGAGTACAGTCAATTGCGCCAATTACAGTGGGGAAATTGGCGATATTGCGAAATTTCCTAATAGTTTCCGCCTGTTCGTTTACGGTAGCAGGCATTCTTATAAACCTTCGGGACATACGTGACAAAATTTCTGCCACTCTTTTACATGTTGTGCTCACAACTGGTTGGGACACACCATGCAAATCAGCTGTATCGTCTTGAATCTACGAAAAAACAGTAATATCATTAAATTATTAAAATATTGTTGAGCTTTTTGTCAACCGTTATAAAAGTATTGGTATTTAAAGCACTTACTTCATGACGAGCCCAGTTCCGCAATGCACAAACCACTTGGAGCTCAGGACTCAACGGGCATCCTCGAGGGTCGTGGGTCAAATCTTCACGTAAAAGATCCACAATTTTCTCGCCGAAACGTTTTGTAAACCTATACTTGTATCTAAAATCTTCGTCACTCATTTCAAAAGGATTCACACGAAGACGACGTCTATGAAATTGTCGAGACGTCTCCAAGACGTCCAAGTCTTCCAAATCCACGAAGTCGATCATGTCATAATCCATTTTTAAGAATTTGTAAGTACGAAACACACGAAATAAATTCACGCTAACCTCAAAACAAAATTGTCGATTGACATCTGACTGACGCACCGAAGTTAGTCCAGAGATAAACTAGGGGTCTCACGGGTTTAACTTTAGTACCATAGATAATCCATGGTTTAGCGTTAAACTTTATTTTATAATAAGGTTTTATTTAGTCCATGGTTTAAACCCAGTTTAATCCTAGTACTTTAATTAGAACGGGTTTTGTAATAAGACGGTAAGAGATTACACTTCGTATTTTGAGAATGAATTACACGTGTTCTAGCCCGTTTCACAGCAATAGTCGCTTATATCGTCGCGCCCCGCCACTGAAAACAGCGCGGGGAGCGCGGGAGGCGCGGCCGGCGGGAGCGCATCGCGCGTTCTCCAGTACCGTCTCAAGAAAAAAGGCCGGCAAGGCCTTAAATTGGGTCAAGCCTTGGCTAGACCCAAAATATCCGTTTTATTCCCTTCGGGGGTAAAACGGTTCTATTTTAGGTCTGAGCCTGCGGCTTGACCCTAAGAGACTTGTTTGGTTTCTGCCGGCCATATAAGGCGTACTGTGAAACAACAATAAGGAATTACCTATTTATAAGTGGATGGTTACAATTACAATACCTAAAAGAGAAACAAGACATGAAAATAATCTAATCTTTATTAATCATCAGAAGAAAGAAACAAATCTTGGTATCCAACAACAAAATTATTTTAATTGTTAAGTATCACAACCTCTTAAAATTCTTATTCATGTAATAATCAAATAACAATATAAATTACTGAGATCCGGCAATCAGTCTCAAAAGTTATAATAAAATATTAAAGGAACTACTTAACACATTTGGTGTATCATTGGAATTAGAAGTACTTCTATTAACTTCTCTAAAATAATGTTTAAAGAATGTAGCTCCACTACGCCAATTACCTTTTCTAAGAACTTCGTCAAGGGGTAGTAATCCATAATTTTTAGACGCCACAGCAGAACGGATACTTCCTGGGGATGCATTAATACCTACACTTTCAAAAGCTGATCGTATCCATCCTGCTATCACGCATCGCGACGCGGCTTTAACCGCCCCCCTTGTGGTTATGAACAAATCCGTCAAACGTGGGCGTGCTAACCTACGACTTTCTGAAGTGACAACAAGTTTATTTGTCCAAAAGGGAATATCCAAGTTTTTCTTTGTGTTAGATGTAAATTCCCAACCCGATTGACGAAAACTACTGGAATCGGTTTTAGACCCAAACTTTGGCCAGAAAATTAACGAATTTGCAGTTTTTATCATGTCGCCAGAGCTTATATGTAAAAGAGTCAAATCATGAATCCGACGACCGGTACTAAGGAGGAGCAGCAAGGCAACATGTCTAGATAATTGAAAAAGATTATTATCTTGAGGCGGGTTCACCAAAAGCCAATCTATCAGTATTGATACATCCCATACACATCTCCTGTTAGCAGGAGGTCTACTTAATTGTATTCCCTTAATCACTCGTGCGATTATTGGATGCGAACGAAGCTTTGCCGCATTAGAAAAATCTGAGAATGTACAGATCACAGATTTGTGTACTTTTATTGTTCTCGGCGCTAAATGCAATTTTTTGTGAAGATAACCTAGGAACAGAGCTACCTGATCAGCTGTCGGTTTTAGATGGCAAATTGAATTTAAGGAACACCAATTGCGCCAACGTCTCCATGCTGATTCGTATGTACGCAAAGTTGATTTCCTCCACGAACTCTCTATCAGAGAGATATATTGTGGTGACCAATCTTTAATTAGAGAACTCCAGCCTGAATCCTCCAAGCCTCCAATTTTAACCGGTTCACTTCTAAGGGAACAGCTTGCGTCGACAAGTCCTTGAGATGATGTTGCAGGTTGCGGATCTGATAAGGCGGAGCTGTAGCTCTCCGACGGAGATCCGCTCTCCAGAACGATTTGTCCCACTTGGGTGCTATTATTACAAACGTTCCCCGCGCGTCGTTCAAGTGATGTAAAACTTGAGGAATTAGAGATGGTGGAGGGAACACCCAGGCCAACCTGAACTCCCATGTCCGACTGAAAGCGTTCGTAAAAAATGCTCCCTTGTCCTTGGGGTTCAGACTCGCATATCGTGGAACCACCGCCGAGGAGTCTGACGCAAACAGGTCTATATCTGGAGTCCCCCACCTTTCGAATATTTTTTGAACAACTGCTTGAGAGAGGCTCCATTCTGGAATTGGTTTTTTTCGGGATAGACCATCCGCTGTTAGATTGTATCGTCCGGGAATGAACTGAGGGTGAAGAGTTATACTTTCTTGCATACATATATTTAGCATGGTCTTCGTTAAATTCAAGAGGGCGGCTGATTTGGTTCCGCCTTGTCGTTTTATGTGTGATATCACAGTCCGATTGTCCGATTGTACGACTACAGCCCTGCCTCTTAACGCCGTGATGTGCAACCTTATAGACTGGAACACCGCGAAGAGTTCCTTGACGTTTATGTGCCACTTCTTTTGCTCTGCGCTCCAAGGTGCTGACATCATCTCGCCATTCAATTCTGCTCCCCATCCTATGTCGGATGCATCGGTCGAGAGAAAGAGAGTTGGGTTTTGATTGAATATCGGGGAAACTTTGCACAGGTTGTTCATCCACCAATTTATGTCTATTAACGCTGAGCTGGGAATTGGTTGGCTCTGGTCTGGCTGAAACATATCCATTTTGTTCACAGCCCTCTGAATCAAGCGGCAATTTAGGAGACCGAGTGGAACAACAAAAGCTGCGAATATAAGAAGGCCCAATAGGGATTTTGCCTTTCTCCAAGTCCAGACACGTTCTTCTTTTAATTGACTCAATACCAAACCGACTCTCTTTATTTTTATTGCACTCAGACTTTTGACGTTGAGTTCCGTATCCCAAATTACACCTAAGAATTCCAGTTTGCGCGTGGGACGCAAGCGTGATTTCTCGTAATTTATTATCCATCCCAACTCTTCTAGAAGATTCGTGGTCATTTTTATCTGCTTGATTAGAGAATCTAGGTTTTGACAAGCCAGCAGAAAATCGTCTAAGTAAACGATTACACGAACACCTCGGGATCGTAATAAGCTTGCCACCCAATTTGTTAGACGAGCAAAGATAACTGGGGCTACGGACAATCCGAACGGAAGTGCCGTCATTTGATAGCATTGGCCGTCGTACGACAGAGCAAGGAAGCGTCTGTGAGCTGGTTTTATCGGCACGTGTAGGTAAGCGTTGGATAAATCCAGCTTTGCCAAATAATCGTTTCGCTGTAAAAACTTTGGCACCCTGTGGTGGTTTATGAGACGGAATGGTTTTGGATTTAGAAAACGATTCAGTGGTTTCAAATTGAGGACTGGTCTTTGATTGCCATCCGATTTTGGAACCAAGAACATTCGGGATAGGAAAACTGACTCGTGATTGCAAGTTTCTATAGCCCCCAACTGAAGTAGACTTGTTATTTCCGATTGCATAGCCTCCGATTTTACAGTTTGAAATCTGGTTAAGTTTGTCTCCGATTTTGTCATTAAAGGCGGTTTTTTTGCTGAACGGGATAGACAAACCCGTCAATATGTTTATGAGGTAAGAAGGGGCATCGTGATTCTCCCACTGTTCTACAAAAAACTTTAGCCGCCCCGCTAGACTGATTTTCGGGGTATAGTCAAAAGGGTTTTGTGGAGTGCTTCCTAGGAGATGGGCCGGATTTAGCGTGCCCTCCCCCCCTTTTTTTGTTGTTTGGCTTTGCCTCAAATGGTTTTTTGAAACCTTTCATGGTTGTGGATGAACACGTAGAAGATTGATTCTTCCTTCTGTTGAAATGGGATACCTTATTTTCAGAAGGATGCTGATCTGTTTTGCGTCCCTGTCGATTGGTTTGGCAATCTGTCAAGACTTTATGAGCAGGGAAGAATTTGTAATAACCACCATTTGTTCTAAAAGTTTCTGAAAGAGCATCTTCGTCAAAGAGATACGCACTAGAAGGTGGTACCTTATGCAACGCACTGTGCATATACTTAGACGGTGGCTTGTATACAGAACGTCTATATTCGATCACCTCGGCACGACGCCCACAGGTATATTGAAGCAGATCATCACTGACTTTTCTGAACTCTGTGTCCGGACCCGTAACATTCTTAATGATAGCCTCGTTAAGAGTTTTTGATTTAACCTCGTTTGCTAAACTTATTAGGGATTCTTTCAGTAGTTTTCTCTGTAGAAGGAGACCATGGGTCATTGCACCTAGAGTTTGGTCAAATTTAACAATATGCTCATATGGAATCCAATTAGGAGTCTTGGCTGAAAGCTGCGTATTTACTGATAACGAGGTAAAAGCTGGAGCAGCCTGCAATTTCTTTTGAACTTCCGCATATCGAAGGTTAGCCCAGGACTCTTTACCAAATCTCTGGCAAACCACTCCCTGGTCTAGTAGATCATCCGGAGCTGGCATTATTTTTGGTTCCGCTTCTCTGACGCAGGGAGGTAGGTCAAACAAATTTGCAGAATACTCAGGAATGTTAGGGTTTAAATCTGGTACACGAAAAGCCGAAGATGAGCGTTCAGTGGAGTTATCTTTGTCATACAGTTCGTAGAATGACGGTTGAACCTCCTCCGAATTAAAAACCGATTCTTCGTCGTCAGAATAATTCACGTTTTCTGCGCCATGATTGCGTAGCAGCTGAGCTACCATTTCCTGTAAAGCCTTGGTTTGTTCCTTAAGAGTCTTGATGTCTTCAGAATCAGTCTTACTTCTTTTTATATTATGACTTCGCGACATTGGGGATGATAATCTTCTCTTTCTCGAAGGTTTATCGACGTCCGATATCAATTTTTCTACTTCCTCTCTTGAAATAAAAGATGTTTTTATTTCATTTATAGCAGCTAGAAAAAGCTCCAAATTGGCTGAAGAACCATGTATCTTTGATGCAACAGACTTTGGGTTAATAATAAGTGCTCTGCAAAGAGGCCATTCAAGTAAGGCAAGTTTTATACTTTTGAATGTTTTTTCAGATACAGCCTTTGCATCTGGATTAAATGCCTTCACCAAGGACACAGTGGGAATAGCAAAACGAAGTTTGTTGAAAATCTGTGGATCAATTTTTTGACCAAATAAATCTCTCTTTGAAAAAGCCACGACTTTCCAATCGCGCCATGTTGCTGGGAACACCTGTTCGATAACTTCAATGAGTCGTTGTAGTATCTCCCAATCTCCCGTCGTCGCTTCCGTCG